AATTTGTCGCAAAGGTCGCATCGTCATAACTTCTATCAAAATAGATATTTTTTTAGAAAGGAAAAGCGGCGTTAGACTTAGCTCGCTGAGAGGAATTCTCCAGTATGTACCTCTACAATAAGCACCACCGTAATGAACAATATTCTTCGTAATTAGCGTATCTAATAACCAAGTAGGCGGAGGTTTGAACAAATCCGCGGTATTGACCTCCCATCGTATAGCTACCGTATCTTTACGATAAGGCGTGATTGTGACAAATGGATAGGTTTCATGATCAGCGTATGAAATAATCACCCTGGGCGAAAAAAACAGACGGAGTAACGATGGTGCGCTCTTGACGTGCGGGTACAGTATCTTTACAGTAAGTCGCTACCGTAAAGAATGGTTTTTTCATGATCAGCGTACCAAATAACCCTCCTAGGTGGAGTTTTAGACAGAATCACGATGTTGACCTCCTACCGTGTGCTTGCCGTATAACCTAGATGTTACTGTAGTGTGGCATACCGGAAGAATCCTCTCAGCGACCTGAGTCAAACGCTGCTTTTCCTTCTAAAAAATATCTATTTTGAAAGATATTATGATGATGCGACACTTTGCGACGGATTATCCCGTCGCGAAGGATTTGTATGTGAAATCGCGTTTTTTTTTGCAGAAGTTATGAGCGGTATTTTATTATAGCTATCTATAAAACAATAATCTGCATGCCTTAAATATATCATTGCAACAAATGCGAAATCAAAAAATTCACCCGCTTAAGTTCATCAGAACTCCTAGTTTTCGTAATTGCCGGTAGGTTGTTCTAAAAATTCTACCGATATATTTTTTAAAAAATAGTACATGAATTAGGGTTGAATTAAAACGTGGAAGGTAGTATTATGCGGAGCGTGAGTGAGGACTGCCAAAAACAGTTGACTTTTATACCGCCAACGATTGGTGCAGTTCATGACACAGCTGAGGACCATCGGTCTCTCATCACACAGAGAACAGAAAATAGTTAAATTCTCATGAGCGCCACAGTCTTTGGTTAAGCAAATGTCTACAGGGAGTCAAGGCTTGCTCCTATAATGAATGAAATTGAACATTGGGAAAAGAAGTTTACGGGATGATGGTGTTTCTGTACCTGGAGGTTAATGTGAAAAATACATTGTTTTATGGGCGTTCTATGCACATTAGAGCATCCATTTGTAATCTTTATGCCATGTTTGGGGCGTAATCAAGTTTTGCTGACTACCAGACAGTTACAGTACCTCGGCGTTGCTAGAATCAGTCGCAATGTAACGTAGCCGTCGCAGGAGCAGGAAACGGGCGGGGCTTGAGATGCGCTCGACGTCAGGTTCGATCACGATGGATTTCATTGATCACAGCGGATCTAACTTTTTGGCATTTTCTCGCCTAAGATTGCATCGGGTATCTAGCGATGCACACCCATTTTCATGAACTGCCCTAAGACTTCCCCGAACAGCTAAAAACTTGCTTAACACGGAAATGTTGCAAAACAAAATAAGTGGATGGACATGAGAATAACCAAAACTATTTCCTAACAGGTTTGGAATTATTCGATAACGAGGATGTCGACAACAATCTCTCATAAGCATCATATTCTTTTCTTCGCAGCTCAAGGATCTTTGACGTTCTTAGAAGTTTTACTGCGATGTCATGAAATTATCCTATATGTATCTCATCCTCAGTAGCGTGATTGATGGTTTAGAAACCTATGAGAATTGTACGAGGATGAAAATAGAAACAGTGCTCTACTTTGATTGAGGTTAACTCATGTCTGAATATAAATGTTAGAATTAGACTCGAAATTTCGTTGGAGTACTTCTACGTGAAGCAAAATTGGGAACGTTATGATTTCCAAGGGCAACATAATCAAACTACAAAGAAATAGAAAGGATTTAGAGAGGAACATCAAATAAAACACTCCAAAACAGACATGAGGCAAACATTTCCATGACGCAGATTGTTGCTAAACAAAGTACCATTAGCTTGTTCAGTGTTCTTTTGACGAAACTCAATAAAATACGGAGTTCCGCGAAGAATCAGAAGCATTTAATCCAATCGTAGCATTTGGCTTCTGTTG